GCCTCGAATTAGTCACCCAGACGCAGGTGAAAGCGAATATCGCTTCGAGTAGGACAGATGTGGCGACAGGAGTCGAGTGAAATATGTGAACAAGGGGTAGAGCAGACAGATGTTACGGAGCAAGAGAGAGACTGGGATAAGGCTAGGGAAGAGGACTGCATAATAATAAAGCAGACTCTGATCAACATTCCCTGCACGAGGATGAAGAGGGGGTGGGGTGACAACGTCATGTCGCTCAAAAGAGCACACAACACTATCTAAATAAACACGGTAAAAATTGTAATAGTGAACGCATGATAGTATGCTACCGAAAACACGAATGACCTAGGGCAGAAGGGGAGATACCACAATTATTTAGCACAAGTTTGGTCAAAGGATCGGCTTCACTTGTCTCTTTGACGAGTTGTTGAGTGGTGCTAAAAATGGCGATACTCACTGATGATGAATATACCAAGTTCACAATCCGACTCTGGAAATGATCATGCAGACAATGGATTCCGGACTAGGTGCGTTTCTCTAAGTCTTCTTACCAATATGACCATATTTCGAAAACAAGGTCAAACAACCTCTATACAACGAAAGGAGTCTGCGACCACACAAAGTGTCACACAATCTTGGTCTTCATACTTCAAATTGCAAGTATTTAAATATAAGCGAGAATACTAAATACAACGGTTAGCAAATCTCCGATTTTCAATATATCTATGCTTCCGATTACTTAATTTTTTCGAGGTATTTGTTGGCTTGAGAACACTACTCAAATGTTACTTTGGGAACTCAGGATGTCTGAGCTAACATCATTAAAGAGTCTAGTTCTATTGAATAAGCCCTCGTCCCCATGTACTAGTATTAAACATGAACCATGGATACATACATGAGATTTATCGGAAGAGTAGTAGTGGAAAACGTAAAGAGATAGCTTGTTAACACATTTGAGAGAAGGGTGACAAAGGCATGCATGACGTTTAAACCAAAGAGGGAGGAGAAATGTTACATTATTGTGTTATGAAGCTAATAATAGCGACCCTTACAGATAATATCTAAGTAGCCGAAAGAACACATACTCATTAGTTGAGGATGTATGAAGATGCATGCACAAGCTATAAGAATGAGAAAGTAAGCTGCAGGATGAGCTGTAAAAACTGGAGCTTATTTTTAGCTTATTTTATCCAAATAGGTGTTAGAAAAGCTGATACATAGAAGAAGAGGTAGAAGAACGCAAAATCCCTTGACCAATTTCCTTGTAATCTGAAGATTCATGGATGCTGTATTGCGATTTCAGGTCATACGATTTGAGCTGAGATCTGAATATGATATTGTATGCCAACCTGCATTTTGTCACAAAAGTGCATCTCTATCCAGGATGCACCACTATCTCACACTTATATTTTAACAACATCCCGGCGAGGTTCGAACCCAAAATTTTCGGGTCAAGGTATAATAAAACATGGTCCCAAATTTCATTTGGTACAAAGACATTCGTAACAAAGCGAGCCACTATCATCCCTGTTTAATATGAGGATTATTCAAGGTTGCTAATACTAAGAAGCCATACCTAGGGCAAATATTGAACAGAAGTAGTTTAACCTCGTTTTCGAAACTTTTTCGGTGTGCCAGAGATACTTAGTTGAACGTATCTTGCCTGGAGTCCTCTGCCACCACAATTGACGATAATAAAAACAGCATCATGCTAGTCTTTATACCTTCGATCGAGTTGGAATAAATACTCCCGGTAATATTGGCTGGTCAAGTTGTTGAGCCAGGGAAGCAAGTAAGATACCAGGCAAAAGCTGGTTGGTTCTATTTTTTTAGTTCAGATAGATTTAATGCAAGGCGCATAATAATGGAAACACAAATATATGGAACATAGGTAGCTTGGTAAAGTATACTAAGGATAGAGCGAAAAAAAAGGAAAAATGGGCTAGGGAGAAGTGGGACAACAATGAGAATACTCTAACATACTTCCTCATGGAAATGGATTGAAAGATCAATAACTATATTTGCTCAGAGCGCTTACTTGCTTGAGAGCATAGGCATGCGCAGCTCTGTGCCAAGGAGAAGAGGTGCAATCATTGTAGTGGTCTCAGTTTGCAGAGGAGAATTCAATCCTCTTTGAATACTATCTGACGTAGAAAGTGGGATTTGAGTCTGCTAGGGAAAAGTATAAGGTAGATTTAACCGGGTTAGAGAAACTTTATCCGGCATCAAGCTGATAAGGCACTCTACTATAGAGAAGTTTTTTTTTCTTTACCTGCTATCAGTGTCTTGTAAGTCGCATTCGATTGGGTGAGTGTCCAGTTGTGTATAATACATTACAGTATATAAATTTCAATCCAAATAGCGCATCAACTAATAAAAAGGGCGCGAGATTCCAGGGTACTTAAGGGTTTGGGCAGTAGCCTTGACAATATTTTGGTAATTCTGGTAAAGTTTTGAGGCTTGAAAATAATGATCACCTTTCACCATTTCGAACAAGGTTATTAGCAAAATCTAAAGCGATTGTAAACTTACAATCAGCATATTCAATGTAAAGTTCGTAGGAGGCATTTCTACCTAAATAATAATAGTGACGTTAATGACAGCACTCGATCGCTTTCTCACAAAATCCAAGTTACAAGTACAAGCAAGATAAAGATGAATACATTCCGTGCTAAATTTAGGATTTAAATCCACCTCCTAACCCTCTTTCCAATGCGTATACCCCAATATTATCACTATCAGCACATTACCAACTATTAGCGTAATCAGATATAACTGTAGGAATACCATTGTCATCAACATCGTGTGACTTCAGTGGTCCAAAATATTAAAAATCGCAATTTCTGTATCAACATCGCTTTGCCCTGTGAATTATCGTATTTTATTTCACTGTCATTTTTATCTTGTTAGTGACGAGTAAGAGTAGCAAATCATCCTAAAATAAATTATTGCTTGATTTGCATTACCAGGATGTGTCTAATCAATTGCATACATAGGCTATTCGTCTTTATTGTAAGGGTTATTTAATTAAAGTTGCTTTTATCGAGATTCAGTATGCTTCGATACTACAGTTGTGGCCCATATTGCATTTATTTATCCGCAACTATTTTGGTTTTCTGTCCTATTCCACGATTCCTACAGAATATACGAATTATTCCTATTTTTCCGGAACTGAAAACTAGCTTGGAATGGAATTTTAATCTGTCAAAAAGGACTTGATCATTTATTGCTATCAGATTTATATTGAATCTGTCAGCTATGAAGTGAAGTGACTTGATTTACTCATGGAACGTACTTCAACTCGAATCACTTGAGTGTAAGTCACTGATGTTTTAAGGTGTGATGTTTTAACCGTAGTCACTTGGAGAAGTTGGATTATTGAAAATCCAGTTATAATTTCTATCCTAGAGAAATCATTCAACGAGATCTTTGTTTTATACATCACCTTAGTCTTGCCAATCCTCTAAGGGGAATTCATCCCCCGCTCATGAACATTTAGGTATGCTTTTATCCAGTGCAAAATACCGAAGTGCTTGGAGTTGTACAATACCTTAACTTAAGAGGCAAATTCTTTACGATATAACGGTAGCCACCAAAGTATTTAATCTATAACAGTAATCTGCAGTATTGGATGTTCTAGAGAAATTATTTAGAAAATCTTTACATAATTCTATTGCATAGTCATAAGTTATATGTGAAATCTTTATTTTGGTCTCTTGACCCTTGTGTTTATCCTCTTCAGGGCGCCATTTCACTCACCTCCACAAAAATAGGGTTTGCTGACTGAGTCAGAGCTTCCCGAGAATTGAGTTGGGATATCGAACCAGGTCCTGCTGAACGAAACAAGTCAACTTGATCACCTACTGAAATACTTTGATCCACCAAAGTTGGTTGACAGAGGCTTTCTGGTAGCCTCGCTGTCTCCGCATTCCCGTACGGCGACGGGCTGACAGCAACGGTAGCCACAGCGCTGTGTAAAATTGGAGGAGAGCTGGTCAAACAAGCCTCGCCAGGCAGTGTCAGACTCACGCCTGGACTGAATTGGCCTATCTCTACCGCGTTCCTGTCGGGAGAAGTTTCACTGATGCTAGTGATAGACGTATAAATGGGAGGTGTCATAAGTGGATCTTCTCCTCGCCCATCCCTGGGTACCAAAGGGATCGGAGAATGTTGTTGGCTAAAGTTATTAGTTATTAGGGCTTCTTTTCCGACAAATGATTCTACAGTTTCAGCATGAAGCCGCCAGTTAAAGACGTGCGGCCCGTCCTGTCGATGGCGTGAATGACGATGGCGATAGCGGTGTCGGTGGCAATGATGACATTGTTTTCTATCAGTATTACTATGAGAAGGTTCGTTAGAATAATGATGGTAAGCAGGCTGATCATCAGGCAAGTGATAAACTACCACTTCTCGGTTTGGAAGCTCATGGTGCTGAACTTGAAGAGTATTTGTTTTTTGAAGGCCATACTTTTTTATGTCATCAAAGAGGAGCCGTTGGGCATGATTACCTTGACAGCTCTGAATATGTGTATTCGTCAATGGTTGTAGCGAATTAGTGGTATCATTCTCCATGATGATGGCTTGATTCCATACATCATTACGATCAGATTTGGTAGCTGCAAAACCAGCAGGATGGTTTTCCAGGTTAAGGGTCCCGCTCATTTGAAGACCAAGGCCTTTAGTTACCGCCTGAGATATCAAAGCATTCATTTTCCGTTGTTCGTAGTCCCGTCTAATCATTTTATCCTCTTTCTCTTTTATTTTGAGATCTATGTGTTGTCGGCTCTTTGGCGTTAAGGTCTCGAAGTCTCCAGCCAAGCCAGCTTGATGAGCTTGAATTCTGCCTAAGGCTGTTGATATCGTTTGTCCCGTCTCGGTCTCTTTCGCTAGCATAAGCCTGTGGCCGACAGAAAAGTGGCCAATGGTGGCCGGGGGTGACGGTATGAATTTTTGGCCATCTGCACTATCGACAGAAAAACCGTCTTGTTTGGTAGTGGAGCCAGACAACTGAGAGTTAGATCTGGAGTCTGCTAGAGCCTGAAGACTTAGGTTCCGAGGGTCTGTGGAAGAGTGTAATGACAGGGAAGAAAGAGGCGAGACGCCCGAAGGTGAAGAAAGTGCTAGGTAGTCACTGGTGGACGAATTAATGGGATGGGAGCCGTAGTAAGTGGTCTCCAGTGTCTCATATCGGCCGATAGTGGTCAACTGGTCTTGGTAGTTGGATCGACAAGGACTCTGCTCAGCATTGTCGAGAAGGGGTGCTCGGGAGTTGACTGTGGTTGTGCATATGTAGATAGATTTTTGAGAGTCCAAGTGTGAAGGTGAGGAAATAGGTGAATTCATAAGTAAATTAGACGCCATCTCGTGGATAAGTCAACATGAAATGTAGAAGAGCTTTTATCAATCCTAACGACTTTATTAGCTATAATTTATTTCAAATAGGCGAGATAGCAATGTGATTTCAATGGAATCTTGAGTTTCTAAGTCTAATTTGTGAATTAAGTGAGCCAATTAGAGCGGTGTCAAAGTTGCCTTAAAATGTCATATATCCAAGTTTTAGTTGTTTATCATAAGAATTATTTTTACCATAAGTATCGATAAGTTTTGGAGGGCCTAGAAGCTATCAAATTAGTATAAGGCATCTTGAGTAGATTTTCACTTGCTTCAGTAAAGAATTTCTCTTCAAAAAAGTACTACAATTTTTACCTTGCTTTGGTCATATCAGCTCCTCAAAGGGATTTGAAAATAGGTTTTGTGTCAAGTATAGGCTCTGATGCCAGGCCTATCCCAACTTACTTCTTGTATAGTGGGATTGGTATCGATAAAGCAAAATTGTACTTGGTACTAAACTCGGCTCTATTACTAAAAACAGATTGATTAGATGTTATTTAATATGTAATGCTAGTTTCTGTTAGTTCCTCTGGTAAGATTACTCCACGAATATCTTCCTCATGCACTTTCGTAGGAAATGAAAGCCTCTCCAATAATTTTATCGAGAAGATTAATCGAGATCCAGTAACTCTTCTAATCTATAATATTTAAGTTCTTAGGGTTTTCAGTGTGAAAGCCACCTCCAACCGTTTCCAATATAGATATATTAACCAACTAAGAGTAGCATCTTATTGGGCTTCTTTAATAACATACTTTAACTAGGATAAAACTCAGTTCTCCTACTTAATACTTAGAAAGATCCAGTAATAAAAATCTATACAAATAACTGCTATTGATCAGACATTCGTGGTGGAAGAATAGTACCTCACTGGAACGGCACTACGCACATTGATAACAACAGAACTCTGTTGATTTCTTAGGAAGTCCCGACATCTCCTACGCACCTGATTAACTCTCATGTAACTATTCGCTGCCGTCTCACTATGAGGTACAAATTTGTATCCATTTTAGTGTGGGTTGGATTTGCAGTGGATAGAAAGTTTCATACTGAATTTCAACTGCCTTAAGTAGGTATTAAAGCTGATGCTGTCGGGGCTGTCCATAATAGCTGGCAGATAAATTATAGTCTGCAAAGAAGACACGCTAAACATTGACCGGTGATACGGGAAGCAATATACATTCAGACTGCGGTTTATAAAACTTCTCATGAAAACACGATCAACAACCAGACTGGCTAACTGTGACAAGGAGACGTTCATTTCAACATAGGTGACCCAGAAGTACTCACTTCTTTGCAGGTTAGGCCTATTCTGATTTATCTTATTCTCGGATAAATATCTGGGTTATTCGGTTAATTTAGCCAATATATCAAAGCATGCGTCTTTGATATTTACTTAGATAGTAGCACCGAACAAACAAATAAATTTACTTTTAATATCATTAGAAGCCCTATTGCCTATTAACGCAACTAAAGAATAAAGGTAGTTCGCCTCGTTAAACCAAACAGCTTAATCTGTCCGCGTTACACTCGTTATTTGAACATTAGAAAGCTAATAGATGAGAGCAAATAGAAGAATATCATTATGTTTTTACCCATAGGATTCCCAAAAGGCTCACCCGCAGCTTCCATCCCCTCGTTACAGTTGCTCATCTGCCCATTCTCCTGATAGACAATAGCCTTAACGCCACCAGCCGAAGAAGCAGGAAGAACATTTGCTGATAATTCGATTGATTCATCTGGCTTTTGCTGAATATTGCAATAAAAATCGCTGTGACTAAGATGCTCTCGCAGGTAATCTTTTTTTTGCCTTTTGTGATTCTTTGGCGGACAACTTTGTAACTTTGGTTGGTACTGAAGTTCTCGAGGTAAATGGTGATGCTGTAAGAATTGCTGCTGCCATTGAAGAGACTTTGTTTTTCCTGGCTCTTTGTCGTATATTTTAAGATCAGCTTCATGTGGTATTCTGACCCCTTGGGACCGTGTTAATTGAGTATTTTGACACTTGTAGATCCCTTCATCATAAGTTTTCTCCCAGTTTGATAGCTGCCAGTCGCCCGCTGGAGCTGGAAACGGAGCTACTTGCGGATTTGAACTGCACGCTATCGCATGTTGTATCACTTTACTCTGATTTACCGCTACCATTTTGCCCTTCTTAACTGAAAGATGATAACCCTCTTCTGTCCAGTGAGTAGCTGGCTGGGAAATTGCATGGCTGCAATGTGTCGGGGAAGTGGGCTGACCGCTCTGACTGGTTGGGTTACAGCGTTGGTCAATGTTCGGCACGGTTGCGGAGGTGGATTCACAGGAATCTTTATGCGTCTTTTTGAAATTGGTGTCGGCTGGTACCTGAAGCAAATTATCCGATTTGTCCATAGTTGACAATTGCTCCCGATCATCTAGGCTGCAGAGGGCATCATTTACCTTGCTCTGACCAGACACATGTCCTTCAAGTGTTTCAATTATCCGTGAGCCTAGAGGAGTGATGGTCCTCGGAACTGGTGGGGAGTTGGTTTGTCTAACACTGGGATTGTACTGGCACAATATTAAAAACACTTCGTTAAAGGAATTCCTTAGGAATACAACTTTCTGTTTAGTCCAGGCAAAGTTAATGCAGAATAACACTTAAGATAGTGAACGAAAAGATAAATACATATACTATAATTTTCCAATTGTAGATAGATTTTATCACACGCATGGTATATATCCAAGTTAGAAAGTTGTGCGAAATTCTACACGAGTCCATTGCTAACTCGAAGTTGTTTATCGATTGTGCCGATGATGTAGATAACTCTGTTTTATCACAAAAGTCGCTTTAACGATAAAAGTTGGCCTTTATGACAGGAGGTGGCTGTCTTAGCCCATATGTGAGGCCAATATTTCTCGGGGCTAGGAATTTCTGTATAAAATGGCCTACTTGTTTCTAATTTAAAGAATATATTCATAAAGTGTTAAAATGTTACATTTTAATAGAAGTTGTTTGACCTTGTTTTCGCAACTCGGTCATATTGGTAGGAAGACTTAAAGAAACGCAC